TGAATCGATTTGATGGTCATTAGCTCCTCCTCTTTGGGTACCCTAGTATTGGTCCCCGACACAACACTAGCGCATAAGGTGATATGACAAAACATAGTTCGAGTGTTCATATGTATGTAGCAACTTTCCTAAAAGAGAATACTAATTGATGTCTTAGTACCAATGTACAGTATGGCATACTATTCCTGTCCTTTATTCGTGCATAGAGGCATAGGGTCACTGCAGCACATAAACAAATACTTGGAAGCTTGTAACAAAGGCTAGGTGATGTGGAAGCAGCGAGAGGACCTAAGCGCATACCCTTACCAAGGTACCAGTGTATGCACGTTAGTGGAAGCCACTGTTTCTTTTTTTGTTGATGTATTCGTGTGATTAGCAAAGCTTGTAGGGATGGATCCAAATCGTTTCCACATGGAATGGAATTTGGTTACAACTATTTTGCACATTTTACTTCAAATTTGAATTCAAATATGGACCGTGATGGGTATGAATAAATATGCTTTAATTTATTTTTTGCTGACGTAAATATGCTTTATTTAAACCTAATGTATTTGTTGTTGTAAATTATTTTAATACTTTAATTTATTTTTTGCTGACGTAAATTATTTTATATGATTTATAATTTTGTGATAAATATTATATAAATAAGGATTGATTAATTTACACATGTTGGATTCACGTCTAACGTACAGTCAGCGTGCCTCGCCGGCTTATAGAGTGGGTTAGACCACATTTGGACCGGATGACACCGCCGGCCAAGTTTAGGGACCTGTGGTGATCACCTTAAAAGTTTAGGAACCGGGATGACACCATCGGCCAAGTTTAGGGACCTGTAGTGATCACATTTAAAGTCCAGGGACCTAGATGGCATCGTCTGCCAAGTTTAGAGACCCACAGATATCACTTTAGAAGTCCAGGGACCTAGATGACACCGTTAGACAAGTTTAGGGACCGGCGGTGAATTTTTCTTTTTTATAAATCTATTGAAAGTTTACAAATTTTGTCTGAGTTCGAATTTAGGACAACATTCTTTTGAGCTGGAGGTAGCACTAATAGAGACCAAACTCATGCAAGTCTCTGAAAAACACAGATAACTTCAGCGGCAACTCTAGAGTGGCCGTAATCTTTCAACTGTCAACGACATTTTGAATATATAGCTAGCTCGGGTTTAAGTCCTTCCATGAAACACTTGATGCAGCACTCAGTAACTTGAAGGGGCATGGGCGTAGCCCTTACTTGAGGCCTTAAATTACAGCACTATAAAGAAACAACATGCGCACACACACAAACAACAACAACAACAACAACAACAACAATATCAATATAATCTCTTATAGCTTGCAAAAAAACTATAACATCTAGTAATATAATCCTTTACACCTGCCTTATAATATTTGAACAGGTGCCTTTCATGTACTCTCAACAATGGTAATGTTGCCCACAAAAAATGTACAGACATAACAAGGATGTCTGTCTGCCTTAGAGCATCTTGTATTGAGTCTGACGGCTGAAGCTTACCAAAAACATGCAGGCGTACTATATTCCAGGTAAAGTAGCACAGAGTTAATACAATCATGTAGAAATGGACATTACACCAGATGGTCGTTAGATTGGCAACTAACTAGGATTACCGTGGCTAAATGGGTAACCCTAACCTAGTATTACTTCGTACTTGTATGAAGCATCTAACCACACACGAGGATGACATGCCATAACCGCATCATCGCCTTATAGCTCAGATCTAGCTATTCTTTTCAAATAAACCTATTGTCAGACTAGATTGGTCTGCTGTAATCCTTCAGCTATGTTTGCGTGCTGCAAAACCTCAAGAATTATCAACACAGCTAGCTAGACACATACTGCAATCATCCAGATATAGATCATTGTTGACTGTGCAACATATTCCTGTACCTGAAGGTCAAGAGTGTTGAGTTGTGATCCAAATTCAGTTATGCAAGCGAGGCTCGTCGCCGGGAGGCTTGGGCCGAACAGGTGGAGAACATTCATGAGCCGGCTACGTACACTGAAGCTGTTGTTTCTGGTGACCGCGAGAAGTGGATTTCCGCCATGCAAGAGGAGATGCAGTCACTCGAGAAAAATGGCACATGGGATGTTGTGCGCTTGCCTAAACAAAAGAAGGTCGTTCGTTGCAAATGGATCTTTAAGAGAAAGAAGTGTTTATCTCCCAGTGAGCCTCCAAGATTTAAGGCAAGGTTAGTAGCAAAAGGTTTCAGTCAGATTCCTGGTGTTGATTATAATGATGTGTTCTCTCCAGTTATAAAGCATAGTTTAATTCATACATTTTTCAATATTGTTGCTATGCGAGATCTTGAGCTTGAGCAGTTAGATGTAAAGACTGCGTTTCTACATGGAGAGCTCGAGGAGGAGATATACATGGACCAGCTAGAAGGGTTCATAGTTCCTGGTAAGGAGGATCATGTTTGCAAATTAAAAAGGTCTTTATATGGTTTGAAATAGTCTCCTCGTCAATGCTATAAAATGTTTGATTCTTTTATGATGTCACATGGTTTTAAGAGGTCTAAATTTGATAGCTGTGTGTACATTAAATTTGTTGATGGATCACCTATATACTTGCTGTTATATGTTGATGATATGTTCACTGCTGCCAAGAGCAAGAAAGAAATCACTACATTGAAGAAACTGTTGAGTAGTGAGTTTGAGATGAAGGATCTTGGTGCTGCTAAGAAAATTCTAGGTATAGAGATTACAAGAGATAGAAATTCTAGTTTATTATTTCTTAGTCAGCAAAGTTACATTAAGAAAGTTCTTCATCGTTTCAACATGCGTGATGCAAAGTCTGTTAGTACTCCTTATTTTAAATTATCAGCTTTATAATGTGCTAGTACGGATGAGGATTTTGAGTACATGTCAAGAGTTTCATATTCTAGTGTTGTTAGTTCTTTGATGTATGCCATGGTTTGCTCTCGTCCTGATTTATCATATGCTATGAGTTTGGTTAGTAGATACATGGCTAATCCTGGTAAAGAACATTGGAAGGTTGTTCAGTGGATTTTCAGGTACCTTCGTATTACAATAAATGCTTGCTTGAAGTTTGGCAAGACTGATAAGGGATTCACTGGCTATGTGGATTCAGATTTTGCTGTCGATTTGAATAAGAGGAGATCTCTCACAGGTTATGTGTTCACTATTGGTGGTTGTGCTATGAGTTGGAGGGCAACATTGCAGCCCGTTGTTACTCTGTCTACCACTGAAGCAGAATACATGGCTGTTGCTGAAGCATGTAAAAAATCAGTTTGGTTGAAAGGTTTGTTTGCTGAACTTTATGGAGATGATTCTTGCATTAATTTGTTTTGTGACAGTCAAAGTGCTATATGTCTCACTAAAGATCAGATGTTTTATGAGAGAACAAAGCACATTGATGTCAAATACCATTATGTTCGCGATGTTGTCGCGCAAGGTAAGTTGAAGATATGCAAGATAAGCACACATGATAATCCTGCTGATATGTTGACAAAGTTAGTTCCTGTTGCTAAGCTTGAGCTTTGCTCAAGCTTAGTTGGTATAACTGTTTAGCCCAAGAGGTTGTTTGGCACCAGAAGTATTTCTTTATTGTTTTAGGGTGAAGGTTTGTTTTATGCTACAAGAAGGAATTTGTCTCAAGATGGAGTTTGTTGAGTTGTGATCTAAATTCAGTTATGTACAAGATAAAGGCTAACTTCTGAAGGAACGAAGTGAGGCCTGTCGCCGGGAGGCTTGGGCCGGGTTTTTCCATCTCTATATATACTTCCTGTAAGCCGTCGTCTTGGGATAAGAAAAGTTGTAAATCCCCGACGTTTGTAACCTCACCCGATATAGTGAAGATTTGCTGGCTGGTGCCCGTTGTTTTTCCCTTCTTCCTTAGGAGGGTTTTCCACGTTAAAATCTCGTGTCCCCTATGTTTGATATGTTGTTCTTCGTCGTTTATATTGCCTATCGTTTCTAACAAAGAGGCACCACAGGAATCGGTGAAGCAGACACATAGATTATTGTTGACTATGCAATATACTATAATTACCTAGAAGCCTAGAATCAACACAAGAATGAGTGTGGCACACCCTGCAATGCGTATGCTAGTCCTCCGTTCATCTGCGCATGAAGTTGAGGCGATGGCACGCCTAGAGTAGAAGATGAGCAAGTACACACTAGAGAAGGAAGCAGTAGCCAATATTATGTTTTTTTACCGGCTACGTGGTCCAGGAAGACCATAATGCAAGCTAGATTAAGGAGGTGTTTGGTTTCTCCTCCTAAACTTTAGTTGCCGTCCCATCATATGTTTAGACACATGCATGAAATATTAAATATAGACTAATTACGAAACTAATTGCACAGCTTGCGACTAATTTACAAGACGAATCTTTTAAGCCTAATTAGTTCATGATTTGACAATGTAGTGCTACATTAAACATGTGCTAATGATGGATTAATTAGGCTTAATAGATTCGTCTCATGGAGTACTGACGGATTCTGTAATTTATTTTTTTATTAGTATCTGAACACCTCATGCGACAACCTCACATGACACCTCCTAAATTTTAGTCATCGGATCTAAACACCCCTAGAAAAGAAAGGAAGAGGGTTGCAATTATTTAGGATCCCCTCGGTCTAAAATCAAGTGAGAATGCTGGATGGTTTGCTAGAGGTCTTCGCCTTAGGCTCACTACCTGTCCGTGGGTAGAAGATGCCATGGCAGGAACATGAACAGGAATAGCACGACATCTCTCCATAGGAATCCTGCCTCCAAAAGACGGGTAGAGGATCGGGCCACGTCACCCGTTTACCCGCTAGCCGTTGGATCGAGCGTTCATGCGATCTGGTCCGTCCGATTGCCGGTCGGTTCGGGCGTCGACCTGTAAAGCCACGAACCTTCCCGAGGGTTGCCCGTCGTGCAGAGGAAACAGAGCCGCGCGGCGCAACCGCGCTCGACGTGGCCGTCCTCCGCCGCCCCCGCACCTCCCTCATCCCGATGCCCCGTACCTCCCTCATCCCGACGCGACCCGATGGGCCAGCAGCCCCAGCGCGGGCGGGGTGCGTTCGCGTCGTTCCCGGTGACCCTGGCGCAGGCGAGGTACGGGCGCGGCGACCCCGGCCTCTCCGGTCTCGGACATCCCCGGCGCGACCGGCGTTGCGAGCGTGGCGGCTCCGGCCACCCCGGAGCGGGCGGCGAGCGCAAGCACGGTGGCTGCGGCCACCCCGGCGCGGGCGTGAAGCTCGAGCGCTGCAGCCACGGCGGCCCCACCTCCCACGGCGACCCCGGCGCGGCGTCCCCGTCGGTGGAGCGCTCGGCCCTCGCAATGAAGGTCTCCGCCGTCCAGCGCCGCTAGGCTCCACTCCAGCCGTCGTTCGGTCTCCCAATCCCCCTCGTCCCTTGAAAGATCATACTGAGGTTCAATCCAAGCTGACGAACAGAACATCTCCCCACACGCAGCAGCCCCTCATGGTGTCTTCTTCTTCAATTTGGTAAGGGCTCGTCTTCACCTTGTGTTTTTCCTCTTGCTCATGTGGTGCTTGTCCTCAATGATGCATGCTGAAGCTTGAGTCAACCATTTATAAGACTGATTTTTTGTCAATCTTGGTGGGATGGCTACAATCAATTTGCGAAGAGATGGCTTGGACCCTGCACAGCAGCAAAAACCAATTCTATGTGCACCTGCACCTTGACAAAACTGTTTCCCAGCTATAGCATTTCCTGGTTCGATTCGTCTCTTCCATTTTCGCTTGAACCTCTTCAATACAATAAGGGCCAATTGATGCGGATGTTTAAAGCAGATATTAGTTCATCCTTGATACAGTAAGTTTTTAAATTGACGTATCTTTTTTTAATATAAATTACAGCAGATCAGATGTGGAACGCCAGCCGGTGATGGACTGGACATCGACGACAACTATAGCGCACAGGAGATATTCGACAAAATTCCCATGAGGTAAACAACACAGCCTTTTGTCTCCATGAGTATACCATGAATCAAGGCATGTTGGGGCTGTCTTTGTGATCTTGTTTGCAGTACTGGTTCTAGCCAGTCCTCTTTGTACTCACTGTATGATAGCTACTAATGTGTGTGAAATGTCTTTGATACCTGCTATTTATGATTTAGGAACTAGTAATAGCTTGGTCACTGTCCCGGACTAGCTTGGTCACAATTTCTTAGGTGTGCAAAGAGAATACTATGTTTCAGTTCTTAAATAGCTATTTGCTTTTCTATTCAGTTCAAGCAGCACTTAAATACTGATTGAATTCAGGCACAAGGTGTTTGATATGTCTGTCATGACTAGGTAACAACAAATGGAGGTGTTCTTGACGCAACCCCTTGAAATCTAAATACCTTCTTGATAAATACATTCTCAGACTGCAATGGTTGTGCTGCTGAAGGCTTCCCCATGTGATGCTGAAGGTTTCCCCATGTGCTAATGCCACTTTTTATTCAACTTTTATACCCTCTTAATGATCACATCACCTTGCTGGTGATCCAGGAGCAATATTGCATAGACCACAGGAAGCAATGCATTCTGAGTAATGATTGTCAATAGGATCTTGATCAGTGAGGTTTTTTTTTGTCTTATTTTGCTTGACAGATGGAAGTAACTTGCTGGACTCACCTCTTGCTTGAGGTCCAACTTCACATGATTGTTGATTTTGTAACTGCAATAAGTCATGCTCAAAGCACAGAGTTAAGATAAAAAAAAACCTGAATGCCACAAGCCCACAACTGTGGCTGCTCGTGATTTTCTGTGGAAGGGCTACTAGCCTACAAAATCAGCACGGAGACAGGCCATACTCAGAGCCAGCCGCTGCATGGTCGCCTATGAAGCTTCTCTCCCCTGCTTTGATCAGGCAGTGTCGTTGCTGACCGTCAGGGAAGCAGTGCTGAAGCGGTCATCCAAGCCTCTCCGTGCTTCAAAGAGGTGAATAGAACAACCTAGATAATTCGGTGTGTATGTACTTGTTCATACAAGAAATTTTAAAATCCATAGAAAAAATAATGATGCATCTCTAAATTCTTAAACTGATTGTATAGATTTTCTATCTTTTGGTAGCAGGATTATGCCTAACACATTTGGTATTATGGCTTATTTCCTAATCAATTACTTACGGTTTTGAGATATATTAATTCCTCTTTACATAGCAGTCCTGCTCACACGCTAGCTAACATGTTTCAGATTACATTAATAAAGAGCTTGCCCGTAATTAGATCAATTCCTATAAATTCAGGGATTGCCAGCATGCTCTAAATGTATCTATAAATTTTTGTTAGAACTGAAATTAGAAATACATAGTTGCATTCATTTATGTAAAAAAAATTAAAGCTACAATTTGAACTGTAGTTAGCTGAATATCCTAGGTATTGATTGTATAAGTCGAATGCACTTTTTCAAATATCTTATCCTCACATGGGCCTCACTAATATGTGATTTTCAATTCTAAGCTTTCTTAGAAAATAGTCATTTAGTATTTGACTAATCATCGAATTTTTATAATATATCTAGGATCGTACTTTGCTACCTGTTGAGCGCAGAGCTTCATTTAACAACTAAAAACTAAGACATGTAACGCATAAGGATTGTTACCTGAAAAATAATGCTTTCTCAAGTAATAATCCTACAACTATCATTTTTACTCATTGATACCTTTTTGAGTTGAATGGGTTACAACTTACAAGACATCCCTATGGGTTAAAACAACTTAAAAGTGTTTTTGTTCATGCTATTGGTTTCCATAACATTCATGATATTCTATGCTTAGCCCGATCAAGTTTTGGCACCTGCTAAGCTATATGCCTAAAGCCGTCGTTACTTGGAAGTAGTACTCGGTGGATTCTGAAACTTTGAAAGGCTGGCAACCTGCATTGATTTCTTCAGAAGATTCTCATGATTACCACGAAGCAACATCACTTCAAATGTACAATTTATGGCAGAGTAAAACTATTTTATATACATAATATGTTAACAAATATATCTATATCTGACAGTCATATACGAACTGCATATCCATCACAAGGTTCAACCTAAATAACTAGTGCACAGTACGCTTGCATGTTCCATCAGAAGGTGGCCAAACACTGGCCCAAATTCTATAGAAGACGCGGCAAAGCCGCGCTGTTTTCTAGTGGCACCTAAAATTCCGGCCGGGACAAGAGAGCATTGATGTGAGATGTTGAGGCCGATCTCAATAAAAAAACTGCTATGCGTACTCTTCTGACCGACCATTCTATGTGTTTGCATACTGAGATGTAACACATTTCCAGGTAGCTGTTCTTTTGGGGCATTATCAATTTAGAATATCAAAATATAAAAAATAATATAACCAGTGTTCTGTATAGTTCATCCCCTTAGCTAGCAAAGGAGGCGCACCTCGACTGTCGTCTAGTGCAAAGAATTCCACTCAGATGAGATGGTGGATGAGCTAGCATGAATATAGCTCAGTTTTCTTGGTCTTATAAAGGTGGACTAAATCATTCCTCCTTTCGTCCCCAAATAAATCAATTCCTAGAATCCGTGCCAATCAAGCTTTTTAAAATTTGACTAACTTTATAGAAAAAAAATAACAACATCTATGAAATAAAATGAACACCTTATAAAAATATATTTTATGATAAATCTGATGATACTAATCTGATACTATAAATCTTACATTTTCTAGAAATTCGGTCAAAATTTAAAAAGTTTGACTTAAGACAACTCTAGAAATCTATTTATTTAGGGACAAAGGGAGCATATATGTAGCGTAGCCACGTATGAAAGGTAAGGTCAATGCCAATGTTCGTATGGCTATTGCTGAATAGTTGATGTGTGCATGGGAATCAAAGTCTACCAATTAAAACAAGCAAGTCAAGTCTAGCCTGGTCCCCATAAATAGCCTACCCTTGGAGCCTCCAAGACAGCACCATGCAAGTAGAGCCTAGAGACATAGGTGGGGTATCTGAATCTTAGGTGGTGTTTGGATTCAGTGACTAAAATTTAGGAGGTGCGTCGGGAGGATGTTGTATGGGGTATTCAGATACTAATAAAAAAAACAAATTACATAATCCGTCAGTACTCCACGAGACGAATTTTTTAAGCCTAATTAATCCATTATTAGCACATGTTTAATGTAGCACCACATTGTTAAATCATGGACTAATTAGGCTTAAAAGATTCGTCTCGCAAATTAGTCGTAAACTATGCAATTAGTTTCGTAATTAGTCTATATTTAATACTTAATGCATGTGTCCAAACATTAGATGGGACAGCGACTAAAATTTAGGAGAGGCAACCAAACACCACCTTACAAAGCTTCCACTGCCTTGCGCCCTCTCACAAATATGTTACTTTGATATCATGTAACCTTGTCTCCTATCATAAGCATTGAATCACACAGAAGTGCTAACTGCCATGTAGGAGGCGGGACGCGCATTGCAATGTATTAGATGGAGGTGTAAACTACAACACCACACTAAGAACTATTTGATAGTTGAAATCTCCTTCTCCCCCCCAACATAGCGAGGCACACACCTAATGGCTGTCAGCCACATAAGCGTCGAGCGCATTGCAGCGTTGGTCGGCAACAAGTTTGGTCACCCTTGTCTAGTGCACAGCAGCGAACAAAAAGACATTCCATGCAGCTACTTTTGCTTAGACTGTTGAGAACTACAGCAAGAGGCCTTATGCTACGTCTGCCAAGGAAGTCATCCATCTCACCGGATGTTACAGGTTTTCAAACTTTTGCTTACCAAATAGCACGTTGCTTTTTTAATCTTTATCCACTGCAACATGTAGCTAATGCCTCATAAATCATCGTACAGGTGCATAAAGCATCATTGAATGAAGTGGTACGGGTCCAAGATATCGTAGGGGTGATCAATATAATGGGGATACAACAGTATGAGCGTAATGGATTTAAGGTCGTACATCTCACCAAGTGGGGCACCTGTAGAGGCTCCATGGTCAGGTTAAAGCGCCGGGGCGACCGGTTTGAATGTATTTCATGCAAACGTGCCCTAATGGATGCGGCCTAGTTTTGCTCAGTCGGATGCAAGGTAAACGATTTATTATCTTACCTTGAGTACTGACTAAGACATCTCCCTTTGCCATAAAAAACCAGCCACAGCCCGTGATCGCCTAATGATTCGCTACATATAGGTAGAAGTGGAGGCACGTAGCCCTCCAGATAATACTAGATGCATGGAAGGGATCATCAAATACCGTGATCTGGATGATTTCTACCCTGCCGCTCGAGTAGCAAAGAAGCAGAAGGTACATGTCAAAGCCAGGTGTTCCCTCAATACGAAGAACGCTGCCCTTTCTGGGTGGTCACTCAGCGCACATGATGCCACGCCGCCTATGTGCTCACTCAATAAGGAGGTCGTATTGCCTAAGAGTCCATGCAAGGGAAGACCGGTACGTGCACCATTCTACTAAGAAGAAGGGGCACGTAGAATAATCGAGAGGCCCAAACAATCGGACTCCATCTAGGTTCCATGTGACATTTGCCACATCTGTAATATATGTACATATGTGACAATCTGGTCCTCGTTCTTAGTGGACACTAGGACATGTATATTGTGTTTGGTCATTAATTAAGTGAGGAACCATGCTAAGCGATCGATGGCTAAGACATTTCCTTTCCAGGGGCACATGTAGAAAATCACGAGATGGAGAATTAATTTGAACCCTCCACCACACATGAGGAGCATCTGCACAAGTCCCATGCAGGTCCACCTATTTATCGCATTTTATTTGCTGCCTTTCAACTGTCTTCATGTGTGGGCTATAAAACCATCAGCTGACGCTGGAATGGTCTATACAGCTGTCAGCTAACTTGTATAGTCGACTAATTATCAATAAACAAAGTGGATGGGTACATCGAGTAACCTTTAAGGCACCAAAACTGTGAACGTTGGTCAGACCGGGCTTCTGGAGCTCAGCAGTATATATTAGTGGAATAGATAAATCCAACAGCTAGCACATAAAGTGTTTACATATGTGGTATATTTATGGATGTAGAAAATTCTATTGATGAAACTTATACATGTGTCATCAAAATATAGCATATACGATGCATTGATAGATTCCCCTCTAATTTGTAAATAACCCTCATTTAGAATGAACTAATGGAAACGAAGAAGCATGGAAATGCAAAGGACGTGTACTAGCTGTAATAACTGGTCTGCAGTAATAACATGCATGACTGAGCAGAAGGATGTTGTTGAACTGCTACTTTTATCAAGATGCTCGACACGAAGAAGCAAGAAGAGCATCGATTCTGGCAACACATGTGGTGGCCTACCTTCTGCATGCTTGCTGCTACCTGCTAGATAGCCTGATACTTGTATGCATGCATGTTGGTAGCCAACGAAGAAGCAAGAAGAGCATCGATTCTGGCAACACATGTGGTGGCCTACCT